ATTATTTTTCCTACGCCTTTGCGTTTGAATTTCATTCAGCAGCGCCGCCGATAAGACTCTGCGTCTCTGCACGTTGATCGTATACAATAACGAACCATCGTGGACACGATCTCTGCGGGTTTACGGCCTCCCCCTCCCGACCACTAACTCCTACACGTCCTGCTGTCTTAATAATAATAATTATTATTATCCTCCAGGACGAAACTATATACGAAGACGGGTTTGCGCAGCTATAGTATAATACCTATTGACTTTAAATACATTATAATACATACTATAATACACACGTAATCAACATAATATAATAACATTTTGTGTACACACACGACCGCTGCACGAGTCGCCTGTGCGTGTTCGTCGAGGCGAAATCCAATTTCACGCGTTTTTCGGTTAGCTTTTTTCCGTCTTCTCTCTCACTCTCTCCTCACGTGTCATCGAGTGGTATTGTATGTTGTATTATGTGTACACGTCCTCATCGTGTATTTTATTCCTCTTGCCACCGCCCAAGTCCCGTTAAAACGGCCGTATTATATTTTTTCTCCGTTTATTTCTTGACGTCCGAAACAAATTTTTCCTCCGCATGTAGTTACATCATTATTATATTGTTTCTCGTATCGGTATAAATACACGCAGGTATATACACAATCGTCATATATTATACACATTATATATTTATACACAGACATAGTATAATATTATAACGTAAACCGCCGCTCTCAGTCCCGCTATCGCGTGTGTTACGACATGAAGGGTAATATATATTATTATTATTGGTAGTATAGGTACCTATATAGTGTACAATGTATGTATAGTATAATGTATATTATATACCTATGCCACAAGTTGTGGCCCACAACAGCAGTACAAGCGATTCTTATATGCACGCGGTCGGCATTTGTCGCTAATTATTATCATCAAACAAGAGTGAAAATCCGAGAAAAATCATGGCGAGATGATCGTATATGGGAAAATATCTCTTGGGGCTCACATGTTGTGTATATTAAACACATATTATATTATACATACGACCCGCGTGGTCGTGCTATTATTATTATAAGTTTATAACGTCCGTGATATTAAAGTAGTATGCCTCCGGGGCTTAAACAATATATATATATATTATCATTATAATATGTATATCAGTGTGAGATATAAGAATATAGATAGAGAGAGAAATATATGAATACATTTCAAAAATAATAAATGGTAATTCGGCGGCATATTTAGACGCATAGACGCGGCACACATACGTGGCCCGTAGAAAGAAAACGTTTAATATTTAACAGGAGGCAATTTACTGTGTATACATACCTATTATAATACATATTATGTTCGTGAGTATGTATGTATAATATAGTTGCGTCGCTGCAACAGCAGCATCAAACAGGAGGTATGCACGAGAAGAACGAATTCTCGGTGATATTATCAAAAACAATTTTTCTCATAATAATAGTTGGGTTTCATATATTGTGTATAATATATAGTATTTGAGTATTTCTTACTTACTCGTTTAATGTAATAGTACGCGAATAAATCATAAATCAAATCTCAACGGGCCGTCGCTGCTGCAGTGCAGACGGCCGGAAAACTATTTTCGAAATCACTTATATAACTATAATACACAGTTTATGAATGTCTAAAACGCCAAATATGTGAGTAGCAAACGGCAAACTACGTCTGCAGTAATATTACTATAATATAGTATATAAGTACATAAATACATTATTATGCACTATTAAATTTACACTATTTCTAATAATATATTAAATTTTATATTATACACAATATTATTATATTATTATTATGTTGATAAATTATAAGTACCTACGTATCTTTATATATTATATGATATGGAAGGTTGTCTTGAAATGTATATTAATACACATCATTTGTTATACCTGCTTGTTGAACAATTTTTCAAAACCATTTTTTAAATAATACGTCGGGACGTGTATTATATTGTAATCAAATTAGTCAATTATATCGTCTACGAAGTATAGTGAGTTTTATATTATGATATAAATTGTCGGGATTTCATAATTTTATTATTATTATCATTGTGGTTTATTTGAATTTCACGTTTAACGAAACAAAACCGCAATATGTATGATAATATCATATTTTAAAAAATTACGCAGGCATGAATACTTTTTATAACCATGTTTTTGTTTTTGTTATTCAATACTTACTATTTCATAGTGTCGAAAACAATAACAACAATATATGATTTTTTTTCGTTGATATTCTGGGCATATGGTTTCTCACAAATTATTTAAAATATAAGAAGTACCATGTCTATAATAGAAATAAACAATATTTTTTAAAAATTATCTTAAATTTTTATTTAGGTACTTTAAATAAAACAAAAGAGACTTTTATTTAACAGTAATTTATGTATGCAAATATTATTATCTAATAATGTAAAATGAGTAGGTAATAGTTTACATCGGTTATTAATTTTAATTACGAGATATTCATTACTTTTTTGACAATATTTCAGTTACTATCAAATTAAAAATAAAAACCCAATTAATGACAATAAACTGGTACTTTCGTAAAATTACGGTTTAACAATGTGGCCACTGCCGCTATAATATAGTATTATTATTATATAATATTAAACAACATTATAATAATTTGTCTAATTAATACAAAGACGTTAGATCAGTTGAATTTTATCAGTGAATACTAATCAGTAAAAACTGGGCGTGTGCAGGGTGTGTATACATATTGCACAAGGGCCTTGGATACAGCGTGGCGTATCAAATTGGACCCACTGCAGTCTTGAAAAGGCCTCGAATTGACATAGTAATTGACATCAATTATAACATGGACGAACTTATTTTGCAAATTACACAATTCTTCTTCTAAGGAGTGTTTTTACAATAAAATAGGCACTAATAGTTTAATATACGTAAATACATAGTAAGGTTTTAAAAAAAAAATCATACTTTGTAGAGAACTAAAGAGTAATTTTTTATCAATAAAATAATAAAAGCTATTCTATTGAAAATGTTTAAAAAATAATTCACATAAATTTGCATATGGAAAATAAAGTTTAAAATAAATGCTACATGTCGATGGCTAAGAGGCCAAAAGTTGTATGTCCAATTTTTCTCAAAATTGTTTTATTAGTTCATAGGGTTTATCTGGGTCGTCTTTTTGATTCAGTAAAACATTATAAGTCAATATCATGATTAAAACATGTTTTATTTATACTTTAATTTTTGTGTTTTAGTGCAAGATATGTTTTTTTAGTGCACACATATAACAAGTCCTAATTTAATGAGACATACGATAAATATTTTAACATGATTTAAATACTAAGCGGACAAATATAACAAGTCCGGACTTGTTACTTTTGTCAAAAACAATTTATTGAATTTTGGACGTGTAATGTTTTAGATAATATTGAATTTGTTTATCTATTTATAAAAAAATAATATGTATTATTTTAAATAATAAAAATTTTTAATTTTAAATTACACTAAATAATATGATATCTTCACTTAGTATAAAATATCATTAAACACTGGTTTTATTTGACTAAAAATTTGATGAAAAATGCTACTTTATTATTTTTCACATTCAATAAAAAATTCCAATATATTTTATATTTTTTACTTTTTTACTGCAATTTTATAAACAAATTGAATTTTTTATATTAAAAAAATAAGTCTTACGTACATTTTAACTATTTATGTAATAAATTAATTAGAGTTTATATTAAATTAACAACTTTTAATATGTCCATCAAAACCTTATATGTCCACGGTAAAAATATATTATAATTGCCATTTGCCATTCATAACAAGTCCCATTTAAATTTAAAAGAAACATTATAATTACGTTTGAAAAAATTTTAAAACCTTAAAGTAATAATTTATGTGATCTACAGAATATTTTACAAATAAATCAGTTGCAACACCGAAAAACAAAAATCTACAACCCAAATTATTTGGTGTAGAATAATTTAAAATCTTATAACTGCTCTCCCGAAAAATTTAGTGTTTGGGACATACAACTTTTGGCCTCTTAGCCATCGATGTAATAACTAAGAGTGTCCGTAGGTATTTTAAAGAGCGTCGAAGCATAAAATTCCATAAATAAACGACAGTAATCAGCCGAATAATTTCGATATTTTCATAAACTAAATATTATTGTTGTTTATAATTTATTAACATAACACAACATTATTACACTATCGCATGATCACAGTATTATTACATTGATATAATGATGTATGCATAGTAAAAAAAAAATTGGATTAATAATAATTTTGGTTGTATAATTTACAAAAAAAATATTATTTACTCGTTAATTTCCATTTTAGAAAAATCCACAAGCGTTTCAGTTCAGGTCATGCAACCATGGCAGTTGTAGGTACATAACTAGTTCAGTTAATTTTTAACAGTAGATCGAAATTAAACAACTTCTTCAACAATAACCAAGATAACGTTCGTATGTCACCCAACTTGAAACCAAAGTCCAACGTCAACTACTGCAGTTGTACATTGTTTTTTCTAAAGTGTTAAGTTATTCTTTAGATTAGGTATCAAAGTATTAAAGGAAATTGTTTTCTAGTACATGTAGAGAGTAGGTATATATAAGAAATGTTGAAAGTGTAAGGTTCCGATGTAAAAAAATATAGACATTTCTTATTCTTTGGAAGTGAAATTATATAAATGAATAATAATGTAAATATTTTACTGTAATAATATCATCACTATTTGATCGCATAATATTATAATGTACTGAAATACAATTATTATGAGTTATAATATTGTATAATACAGCTAATGGCCATAGTTGCCGAAGCTTAAGATCAATTAAAAAAAAAATAAAAATATTGTATAATATCGTCCCGGCCTACCTATCAGCTTTTTTTTTTATAAATATTAAAACATAATATATTATAATACCTAGAGTATCATATTATTATATTTAACTAACTGCAATGGATTATTCTAAAGTAGAAATTCAATGCGTTACAGGTGCTGATGGCTTCCGAACATTTCATACCTTCAAAGTTTGTGTTTTCTGCCGATTACGCGCCTGTGGTAAAAAATTTACCAATGCTGGCGGCGTTGGCTGAGGCGTGTCTGTGGCCGGTGGTTTTGCTCCTGTTCGACGACCAGTTCGTGCCCCGGCTGTCAAACTTGTACCGGAGACGAAGCGTTTCGGATCGGGCTAAGCCCCCACAAGGTAAATAAAATGCATTTATTTTTTACCATCGTCATCGTTCTATACGAATACGCATTACTTATATTAACACCTAATATTATAATATCATGTGTAATGTATATATATGTGATATTGTGATATTCATATTAACTATTCGGTTTCTCATCCATCGGGTAAGGTGACTGAAATCAGATTCCCCTCAATTTTCCAGTTAACTTGATTTAGTTCACAAATTAAAAAAAAAAATCCATAATATTAACATTTTGGAAACCTCCTGTATTGCTATACAATGATGTACTAACCTGGATATGATGCACCTAAGCGTGTAACATAATAATATTATTACATACGCAAATGCGTCAAATGCAAATTGAACGAATCGTTTACTCGAATATTTATTTGATTTTGACTCGTTTCTGAAATGGAAACACGTTGATATTATGGTATTATTATATTATATTTTATACATTTCTCATTTTACCGATATTTCTACATGGACATTGGACGTGATTAGATCGGAAACATATTTTTAATAATAATGATACGCATATTTTAAATTCATATTTATACACCTAAATAGTTTACCTATTCTCTGCTCCTACTGCAGAATTGAATTTGATTTTATTCTGCATTTTTAACAACCTTTTCGTAGGTGTATATTATATTTGTTTAATATAAATCGTCATAATAATGTAAACATTGTCAAAACTCAAAAGTGTATCTTATTTCATTATTTTAGTTAATTGTCGAGCTGTAATGGTCTAGTGCTAATATAGGTATATAAATAAAAAATAAAAAATAATTTCACGAATTCTCGAATTCTTAATATCTAATTTTCAAACAATAAGCTTCTGTAAAATATATCGTGTTTGAACTAAACTAAAAAAGGCGTGTTTAATAGAAATTATTTTCTCTTTCTAATAACAATAATGTGAATAAAATATACTGAGAAAATTATAAAGTAAAACAAAAACAGAACCTTCTACAGCTGTGGTTTTGACTATTGACACCGAAATATATGTTACATGTTATTATATTATGTTTGGTTGGATATAATAAGCAGCGTTAACTATTTTATCGCTTATAAGAATTAGATTATTTTTTCGCTTCCCGTTTGTTCAATATTTCATATCTCGGTGAAAAATTCGTGACTATTAAGCCATTGTATTTTTAAGAAAAATACTGCTATACATAACTTCGAGGAACGAAAGTATTTAAGTTACAACGTTGAAAGTATTATACATATATACAATTATATACGATATATAATACGATATATACATTGAAATTGTTCCAAGCGTAACTTACTGTCGTGTCCCGAAAAATCGGAAATGAGAATGATATATATATTTTATTCCTGCAGTGCAGCAAATATGTTGCTTCTAGAATTCTAGAAAAGAATAAGCACTACTACAGTCTTCACCGTATATATATATATATATATATTCATCGAATCGACCGTATAAGGGTGGTGGTAGATTGCCACATATCATATACAGGGTGTCAGGGTGAGAGTAAAGTAAACACCATTAGTCATTATATACATTGGCAGCGTGTAGTTAATGTAAAACATTTAAGCCTCTACTATATATAACTGTCCACAAGGAACCACGATTCTTAAAATAAATCGAAAATGATACACTTGTACAGACTGATTAATCAATCAACCTTGCGGCCAAGAAATGTAGAATATATACGTCATTCGAATATTACGAGTACATTCAAACATAATAATATAGAATCGTTTCAAATACGGAAATTCTATATTTTAACTGAATTCGTTTACTCTACAAATACGATTATATTTTTCAGAATACTAATAATACTTATTGTTATCGAATCCCATACATCGTAAGAACTAGAAAATATTATAATATGTTGATATTTTAATAGTCTTCGTTTAACACTCGTTTGCGTTCGTTTGCAGGCTTACATGGCAAGTTCCGCCCGTACAACGGTTCGTTGCAAGACGCCCGAAGGCCTCCACCGCCTTCCAGCGGCGGCGGCGGTGAAGCGGTCAGATTTCCCATCACCAACGGATCTTTGTTCGCCAGCCTGGATGGCAGAGTTCCGGTTCTGCACAACTATAGACGAGGTTCGTATATATTCACTCACTCTCTCTCTTTCACACACACACACACACACACACACATTTATTGGCAACACTCTCAACAGATGGCTGATGTACATAGAAAATTGATTGAAAATATCTTAGAACAAATTAACAAATATTGAACAAAATGGAAAAATATGCGAAAAAACCTAAAAATATGTTGCAGTCAGCTGCAGCGTTTAAAAGAATAATATATTTTTTTGTTAATAAATATTAATACAATATTTAAACAAAGTAAAATTATTAAATACATTTTGTATATGAATACATTTTTTTAGTAAATTAGATACAATTCAATTCTAATTACAGTGATACACATACAGAAAAAAAGTTCTAATATCTGACTATAATAGCAACACTATAAATACATATTAATTTAATTTTAATATTAAATATTATAACATATTTAAATTTATTAAAATGTACATGATAGTTTAAGATCGTTATAGATAAAATCTCTTATTTATGCATAAATATTTCACATTCTATATGCATATTATGTTAATAGATAATAATTGAACGCCTTGCACATTAGTAAGAGTATAAATTTACTATAGTTCACCCAGGGCTGGTGCAGTAAATTATTTTTCACTTGTTCTAGTGATTTGTATAAACCTCAGCACATTATATTATAATACACTACAAGAACTATAGTCTATATTAAGTACCATAATAATATAATACATATAATAAGCGTATTATTATATGGTACCTAAGTTATTCAAGATCTGTGTAGGACGCGTGGTTGTCCCGACTCCCGACACAATATAATAATTATATGGTGACGGTTTTTAGTTTATACACACTCAATTGATGCAGTTTTTTTTGAGAGTGTACAGCAATAAATAATAATATTTTACGTCGAAACGAGTCGCGTGAATTTTCTCCACTCCATTACGACCGTCCATTTCTGTTTACGTCGTGCCATGTATCGATGTGCTTGCACTATACGGGATTGGGATATTTGTCTGAATGATGTGCACAATATATTTTATTTTTATAAATTATTATATTTTGTTTTGAACCCATAACGTTAAATTATTTTAGTGCCGCCAGACAGACCAGTCCACATGCGAATATCTGATCGTAAAATCTCGTATCCATATCTTCAGCATAATATAGTATAACAACAACAAAAAAAAAAAAATAATAATAATAATAATATACTAGTACATGGTGATAATATTAATATTGTATGCGTGTCGGGTCTGTCGAATTGCGCATCAGATGTGACTTTCTCGAATAATATTATATTCACACACGGATAAGCCGGCGTGTAGGTAGGTACGCGTTATATTTTATACATATCCCGGAATTCGCTTCGTAATAATAAACGCGTCGTGTTACCTATGACGACGACCGTCCAATGCCGTCAGTACATAATATTATTATAATATATAATATAGGTATAACACCAAAAAACACAATATAATATATTGGCCAACGTGTGCAGTGCGTGTAATGAAATTTCTACAAAGAAAAATAAATAATAAAAATCTAACAGATTTTATAAATTGTATGTCACCGTCGTCGCGTAATAATACGGCTACGACACTGAAACGTTGAAAAAAATGTTATAAAATATTCAATGCGAATTCTGTGAGCTCGTATTGTAGAGCGTTCCATCCGGCGTCAGCATCGATCGAATTTCTCTCCAAAAAAAACGAATAAAATCATTTCGAAACTCTATTCGCGCGCCGTCCGTGTTATGTGCTCCTCACTAGGTACTGGGTAACATTATATTGTTGCAGTGTACAACACAATAATAATATAATGTGTTACCTATATAAATAATAATATTAAACCTCCGATTTTCTTTTTCCGCGAGAGACGAGACATGATGACCGGTTTCTCCCGATGCCACATAATGCACTACGACCGCCACAGCGGTCGCTTCGGGCCCTGTCTGATGTCGTGGCCACATCGGCACATCATCGCCGTACACCTAACTCTAGTTATTACTTAGTAAGCGATTGTTTCTATACTTCGTTGGTACATCGTGCTCGCCACGGTTACAAAACCATTTGACTTCAGACAGACACAAACACACTTACCTGAAAGTACGTGCAAGTCCATAAGAACGATTATGTCCACGATATCGTCGACTTACGCGTCATTCAAACGGTAATAATAACAATAATTAACGAGTAATAATATATACAACTATGGGTATTTGTACATTTAACAACTAGTTACACTAAATTTTCAAGTCAATTCTTGCAAGAGTTGTGGTCCACTTCTTCGGTTATCTAAACTAATTCAAGTGCTTATGATTTTAAAAAAAAAAACATTTATACAATGTCTTATTATGCCGGGTAAGAAAACAAAACAAAACATAAACTCAATTATTGCCAACACAGACAGACAATCTAAATTTGTTTTTTTAAAAGAAACACAACAAAAACCAGAATCTGTGACCCGGCTGCAGTATATTGGCAAAATGTTTTATACGAGTGTTTAAAACAATTAAACAAATGGTTTAAACAATGCAATAAAACAGTCGTTAAAAAAGCTACTTGCTTCTGTATAAGTTTTACTTGAATTTTTTTGCAATAGTTACTTATTATTTATCTTCATTGTTTGATAATTAATTGAGAATTCAGTCGAATATATTTCAACTTTTAAGATATATATATATTTCTATAAGTAAATTAAATAATGTTTTAGTAGTCCAATTGATAACCTACTGTTGAAAAAGCAATACCAATAATAACCATTGATTATAAATAGTAAATAAATAGTATTTATAATCAATGATAATACTAATAAGTTTCATTTCTTCCTGTAACTACGAAATATCTATAAACAATTAGTTTACAAGTAAGTCTTTTAAATAAAGATAAAATAGTACAAAACTAACATTATTTTAGAACAAATTACAATACATCTTACGAGTATAAATATTTTAATAAGTAGTTACTCTTCATATATTACGTATCATAATGAGGTATTTAAATCCATAATAATATGGACATCCCAATTTTTTTATTTCCTTTCAAATTCAATTAAATTGTGTTTTAAGTATGTTTTAAATAATTTAACAAAATAATCGAAAAGAACATATTATTTTAAACAAAAATTCATGTTTTAAACGATTAAAAATTAAAACAGTTTTTTAATTTGTAAAACATTTTTCTTATCAACTCTGATTTGATCCTGATGTACACATTATTACAATATTTTATCAAAAAATCAAAAATTGACTTGAAATATTAGTGTAGCAATTTAAATATTGTTGACCACGTGCCTCGTTTTTCGCGTCTTTACTACCGTGTATTGTATATGAATATGTGATATTGCAGGTAACTGTAAATATTATCATTCACGTGTTATCATTATTTTCGTCATCGCCATCATAATCATCATAATCATCATAATCATCATCATCAATCGTCATTACTATCATCGTTGTCGTGGAAAATATTAACAACGCGGGCCACGATGATATATAGGAACTTCGCTCCATGTATTATAAAATAGATGGTACCTACCATAATATTATACCTATACCTACCTCATCGCCGTGTATCCGACAAAATAATATTGTAATGCGGTCGTGTCGTCGAAACAAAAAAATTGTGTCGCTCGGTCGTGTAAAACCAAACCGAAAATTCTACACGCGAAGCACAGCGTGCATATTATAATAATATTATACATAGTACGAGTACTGCTGTAGGCCCACTCGTTATAAAAATATATAATATGCGTACACATATAAATATTATATTATAAAATGTGCCCGCGCCTATATAATAAAATAATATACCGTTGTGCGTTATTCTGTTCAGGTTGTGCTACGCGTTTCGAATTCCGCGTGTGTATAATATATATATTATGTTATTACGATAATATTATTTTGTACCTATATCGCGTACCTGCCTATATTATGTTTGTACATAAATATGTGTGCTGATTAATAAAACACCGTGTTTACTATTATTACGGTTAGCGTGTTTGGGTCTTCGATTCGTTAAATTATTTCGTTTACCAGCGTCTCTTCAGTTGTATTCTCAGTCGCTGCGTCGGCGCTCCATCACTACTGCAGTTTTCCGCGTCGTCGTCGGTGAACAAAAATAATAATATTATATTATAAATAATTCATAGTAATATTATTATGATTATCGACGTAGTGATTTTACGACACGAGCCATGCATACTTATCCGAGACTATCTGTCGTTATTCCTTTTTTTTTTTGCGAATTTTTTAGGTTTGTTTTTTTTTTTTTGCTCATCTAATAATTGCAAACGAAATAAGAAATGAAACTCCTACGAAACTAAATCGTCAACGTGTCGAAAATCCATAAGGTCGACGAGCATACATTCATATTATAGAAGTATATTATTATAATATTTGCATTATGAATTTTTTTCCCTCCATCAGGACCACTTGAATTTAAAAGTACCTAATACAAAAACGACGACGACACGAGTTTGTAACATGTTGTACGTGTTTAATTTTTCACCAACGCTGCACCGCGTGTAGGTAATTACCACTCATGTGTATATATAGGTATCAGGTATATAACATTCGCGTACGTAAGACCACCCGACCACTCGGAGTAAATCGGCGTGAAATTCGTTTTTAAATGCCGTCGATTATAATATAATCTGGTTATGTATCTATTTATTTTTTCCGAGTAACTCGATGAATATAATATCAGTCGAAAGCTGCACTATACCTACGTGGTACGCGATATCATATAATAGGTAGTACACTAGACTAAGTAATAACACAAATAGTGTTATATAGTGTTATGTTATCATTTTAGTGAACACGGAAGACTTGTCGGCCTAACTTCGATTATTTCCGCAGACTAAACAGTCTTCTCATCGCTGGTTAAATATGGTAGGTACGTGAATAATTAATATCACGAACGCGGGGGCGGGGAACGGATAACTGCGAACTGTATGCTAGTTTCGGTTGTAACAAAAAAAATCATCTCGTCCGTATACCGTGGTACATAACTGATTGTATAGAATAGTTATATACCTACTAAACTATACTAAATTATAAAAAGTATATATATATATTATTTAGTATGTAATAAGTAATAACTAATAACGGACCTATTTTTTTAAAATATAATATTTTTATATATTTTTGATAGGTACCTAAAAAATATATAGCGCACTCACAGAGAGAGCGTAATTATCACGGCCTTCGTGTCGAATACGTACCAAATACCAATACAATATATATATACTTAGTTATAACATTATTATACCGTATTATAGTAATATACAAACAATAGGCTTCTCGCGATTGTACAATATAATATAAAATATAGGGAAAAAAATATCTGAAGAACGAATGAATAGCGACGTGATTTGGGCACATCGAGGGCCATTGGAATATTTATTAAATTTTTTTCGTGTCCAATGCAATTCCCGGCCGGCGCCGAGCGTGTAACACGACGTCCAGCAAATATAATTATTATATTATATAGGTATATATTATTATATATTACATAGCCGAGTTTTTTTTTCTTCATCTATATAATATAAAAGTATATTATTATTATTATTGTGATCACGGCGGTGTTGACGTTTGACCGTGCACCGTAACCCAACAATATAATAATAATAATGATATTGTCTATATATACCTATATAGGCGTCCGAGTATTTATTTTATTGCCGATTATTAGAGGTTGGCATATACCTATTAGTTATTACCTACAATGTACAAATTATAAAATTATATTGTATAATACGGGTCACAGGGCTAAAAATCGTGTGCTGGTAATAAAAGGCAGCAGGTATATAATATCCTATGACATACTTTGTAAAAAATAAAGTATTATATTATATTAGATGGGTATACAATGCACAGTACAAAACGAGAAAGCGCACGTAACGCAATAAAATATTTTGATGTTTATATTGTTTAAAAAATGTAGTTTTAACTTTTAATTGTATATTCTGATTTCCTAGAAAATCTATTTTGGCCTCACAATGATGTGAACGTCACTCTAATATTTTACTCGGTAAACAATTTTCCAACCGAGATTTCGAGTAAGTCGATTGGAAATTCGAGAATTCACTATACCTACCTTACTTTAAATAGGTCGTTTTTCAATTTTCTCATTAGTTTGGAGAAAAATCACACGTGAGAAAGGTCGAGAAATGTTGACAGGCAAAATAACCGACTTAAGGTTAAACCTTGGCCGTTCTATACCCGTGGACTACCTACACTGAGAATCATTTTTCAAATACAATACGTATAATTATCATTGTGATTACAAATAATAATACATCACTGGATTACGCCGATGTGAACGAAATGATCCAACGCTCAACAATAAACATCCATATTGTGTATAATACCTATAATATATTATCTAGTGCATGTATTTTTTTTAATTTATGTATTTATATTGAGTATATATAATATGTAACATGTGCACACACTTAACTAAAAACACTAAAAAACACATTTTTATTACTTGCTCTGGAGCATAAAAATGCCAAATTCTCTTGACACACTTAGATAGGTCGCATACGATATTATTATAATATTATAATTTTACAATTTTCCCTGCATGGTCTAATACCGTTTGGGCTTTTGTTATTTGTTCGTCTTTTCTCTTTACAACCGTATAGTCGACATCAGTAACCACAGTCCCTACCACGCAATCGAATGTTTTCCGAATTATTGTTAAGTACCTTTGATAAACTATAAAAGCACTTATCGTAAACATTACGCAGTGATATTATTGCCAATATCAGTGGTATTCAGCCTTTACAACGGGGACTTTATCTTCCTTCTGACAAATTCATATTCACTAATCTGACAGTTCTTTAATTGTTTTTTAATTATAAATGTTAAGTGAAAAAAAAATATAAATACAGAACAAAAAAAATGTAGAAAACAAACTAATGAGTAATGGAAATTGGTTATGTTGCGTCTATGCCGTGAATACCGTGTACGGATATGTAGATATAGATAAAGTGGAACCGGGTTTAAACAGATTCAATATTAACGAAAACGAACTTGCTTGATGTAATGCTGAGGTCAAAATACAATAAAAATAATAAATATACTTATCAAATATTTTCAGAAAAATGTAACCTCAAATTTAAAATAATATATAATATTTTAATGATAAATAATATTATTATAACAAAAGATTTTTGAGACTCATGCAATATTAATATTATTGTTTTGTGGTTTTTCAGGCGTTAGGACGATGAGTGGCTTACTGGCTTCACCACCACCTCCACACTTTATACACACGGCAACCGATTCGGCAGTCGGTCACTGTTGTGAAGACGAACATCACCACCTCCATCAGCAGCAACAGCATCAACAACAACAACTACAACAGCAACAGCTTCATCACCGGTCACTGCGGTTTGCCAATATGGTGACCGCGTCAGCGACCATGTCACCGACGACGGGGGACGACTGCAAAGTGGTGGCGGACGACTCGACGCCAGCCGACAGCCTAGACGACCAGACGATCGTGGCGGGCGTCGCTTCCGTAGTCAGTGGCGTTCGAGCGACGGACAGCCGATTGCCTCAAAACTTACAACAGCTCCGCGAAAAGTTGTACGCGCAAGACGACGACGAAGACGACGAGGCAAGTTGTTGCGGCAGCGACAGTGGCCGAGAAGCGGCCGTGGACGACGAAGAGTGTCGGGCAAACAGGCCTGAGGAGGTAACGGTGGCAGAAACGACGGCCGACGATGAGGACGATTCTTCGGACGACGGATGTGACAGGCGGGACGATTGCGACGACTGCGACGAAGAGGGCGGGTACGCCACGTTGTCCGCCCGGAGCGTGTGTTCGGCTACGACGGCTGCCAACGACGATTTCGAGTATTTCGCGGCGTCCGTTGACCGATCTGGCGGCGGTGGTGGCAGTGGTGAAGACGTCATGCCACCCACGACTGACCGATCACCTGTTAGCGGTCGGGTCCCGTACCAGCGGGCGCCCACCAGACGAGCCAGGCACCACCAGCCACAGCCACAGCACCATCTGCACCATCGGCACCACCAGCATCCACAGCCGTCACAGTATCACCAGCAACACCACAGGCTCCAAGTGCGCGCCGCAGCACCAGCTCTGCCGCCCACTCCGCCAACGCCACGCAGGCCCAAGGCACGTCTCACGCCCGTCTTGTCGGTCGACTCGCTTGTCGCGGCCCAGGCGGCTGCTGATGCCGCGGCCAACGCCGTGAGTTATCCGCATGCCTCTCAACTGCTGCAGCAGCATCATCATCAGCAGCAGCAACAGCAGCAGTTTCATCACCAACACCATCAGCTGCACCATCATCACGGTGGCAGACATCGCGGAGGCTTCGGTGGCATTGCTGGCAGACGGCTGGGCGGCGGCGGTGGCCGCGGACACCACGGTGGTAGTGTGCCCGACCTGAAACGAGTGTTCATAACGGATTTCCTGTAAACTGTGTCGCATGTCCACGCGTGTTTCGCAAGCCCCTATCGCTTCGGGACGTGTTCTCGGTGTCCCATAATTTTCGGTCATCAGTTTCCCCCGAATCCGTTATTGTTGTATCGAACGAGATTTGTCCATAGAGAAATCGTTTTTTCTTTTAAAATCTTTTAATTTTTTGAATATTGTTGAAGAATCGATATAGTATTGTAATTTATATTTTATTAAATCATATGCGTACATGATGACGGATAGGTCTCCAGATTAAATAATATAAATTAGGTATATATTGTGTATACTGTATAATATATACATGCACATGTCTGAGTCACGTATTTAAGTATATTTAGGTAGGTATCTTGATAATAATTTATTCAAACCAAAATCTGTTTTTGTATATACAATTATTTTAACCGTTTGGTTAGTTCAGTTTACTTTAAAATTGTTTTATTAAAATAATATGTAGGTACTGAATGTGCGCCAAATCAATTCGCAGTAGGTTTATGTATATAATATAGCCACGGACAGCACTATATTATTATATCTTCGTTAGGAAATTGATCAAAGACGCAAAAGTATATTATATATACGTTGTGTTATATAGTAGGGTCATCCTCTCACCCCTCTTCAGTATTGTACCTTGTCTAAGTCTAAAAATTCGTTTTCGTCGTATTTCTACTCTAGTGCGGCTATTATTATTATTATTATATAATATATTATATATAGAATGATTATTATATTGTTAAACTTAGACGTTTTGTTTATTTTTTAACACTTGGTGCCAATTTTATTGTAAGATTAAAATTTATTTATACGTTTATTATTATTATTATTTTTTGTAAATTGAACATTGTTTTTGTTTTTGCTTTTTTTAAATAATTAAGATTGTACATTATATTTAATATTTAGTGTTTCACGTTACGTTGATATATATCAGATATTTAAACATATATTTTAACGATTTTAATTTTATTATTATATTCTAAAACATTAACCAGTTTTTGTTTGATAGTTGACAATAATAAAAATGTATGTCAAATAAAAACAATTTATGTAGTCTAGAATTTTGCAATTTACGACCATTTGAAATACAAACAATTTTTCATTCTGGTATATACTTGATTAGCTTAATAATATCTGATTCAATAATAATTTTGTTTTGTTATACGTAAAACATATTTATGACAGCAACCGAAGCAACTTATAAACGTAAAGTAGGTATAAACATTAAAAATTAAAACTAATAGGTATCAGAATATTATTTTTCCAAAGTTAAGTAATGAATAATAAATGGAATTAAACTTACACATTCGTACAACACAAAAAATAGTTTGGAATATGGATTAACAATAATCGTTTAACCCAAAACTGAAGAATTTTTAATATAACAATGGTATTATATTATTTTAGGATTTAGAAGTTAATAAACTAAATAAATAGTTAAATAATTATAATGGTAGGTGTATCTAAATATACTTTTTCAATCAGACTATTCACTTGGAAAATATTTAAAATTAATATATTATAATATTCTACTTTGTATAAATGGATATTATTAAGTTGTTCAGTCAAGGGTTTCTGTTGTTACGTGCACTTTATTGTTTACTGGTAGAACATTTGTCAAAAGTTAGAACTTATAAGAGTCAAAGAAAAAAGTATACGAATTAAATTTAGAACAAAGCTAGAAGAGAGAAACAAAAAACTCGAAAGTCAATGGGAATGTAAAAACTAAATATAAGTACCTACTAAAAGTTTACGATGTAAGTTTGGAAAGACGACAAGTGTAAAGCTTAACGTTGGAAACATTGAAAAATCAAAGTTTTGTTATTTAGTTTATTTATAATGCACAATTGAGTGATTTAAGATTTTATATAGATAATAACATTACTAAGACAGTGAAAATATACGAATATAGAAAAAATTGTGTTTAATATTTTTCTAAACGCAATTAGTATATGCGAATAATATGCATAGTATTAAATAATTGGGATTAGTGTAAATTTGAAAGCATCTTTATTAGTAAAGGTCTAACAATTTGTATAACTTATATAGTTGCATAAAAGATGAATGACATCAAAATGATATTGTGTAATATTATATTTTATAACTTATGAGAACTTAGCGTTTCCCAGTAGATATCGGAAAAATCGATAGTGTAAATGTCAAAAAAATTTTCGTTTTCCATTATATATCTTTTCAAATTATTGGAAACTAAGCAGCCCCGAGATTTTGTGATCTTTTTTCATACATCGTTAATATAATTACAATTATATTATAATATATTTTCAAAACCATAATCTAACAGCTAAACTTATATGAATGGAAAAATTATGCATTTTCAAGGAAACATTAGCGAATTGTATTATATTTGTGAATGAAGTTAGTCACAAAAAAAAAAAACAGTTTAATCTTAAACAAGTGGAATTGTTCGGTTTATAATGATTTAAAAAGAAAAATATAACTGTGAGACACTTTTGTCATGTACGAGTGTACGACGGTTGACGGCGCCTTGAATAACTTACTATTATTTTTACAGTACAATACATATATATATATATAATATACATTTTACAGTGTCTTGCATACTATTATGTTGTGTGACAACAATTTTGAGGATCTTCTGAAATTTGTATGATATTCTTTGTATGTAGGTTTTTTATGTACCTATATAGGTGTTCTCGGATAAATTTTGTCCGAGGAGCAGTGACAGAAAATCACTCCACTAACTGCCAAGGAACGTATAAGTTATAATAATATGATGTTCGAGAGAATATAACGATAAAAATTCAATAAAGATAAATGTGATTAGATTGGAATTTTCATAATATCAGATAAAAATAAAATGCATCACATTTACACTCGTTGAACCTAACTTAAGACGCGACACCAAGTGTGGGACATACTTACCTACAGTGGAGTGTATCATAAAAAAAATTGGTGTTGCTCAAATAATTTTAAGTGACCCCTGATAATACTGTTATACCATCTATAAAATTTCCTATTTTTCTTCTATCAACACCCACCCACCCATACTTAAAGTGTTACCTTAGCAACACCTGGGCCCCATATTACACGCCACTGCTTACCTACATAAATACATTCGGGATACACCTAGTTTATTATTTTTACATTTTTAACACTTTATTATAGAAATTGAATAATTTAATAACTTGTATAAAATTAATGTTTACAATAAAATACAATAAAGAGCATATAAGTACAAGATATTTAGGAAAAATACCAATACGGGGTTACATGAGTATCCATTGACACAACTTCTGGTTCTTACTGAATTTAATTTTTGTCTAGTAACGATGAATTTATTATTAAGATGGTCTCTAAGTCATTAAGTTTAAAGCCAACGATATGGATTGTCAAAAGCGAGTGGTAAAAGGGGTACAAGTGGGTTGTAGAATATTATGTGTTATTGTGATTTGTGAATTTGTTTTGTAGTAGTATACTGTGCAGCTATAAGATTATAATATAGTGAATCATTTTTGCAACTTTTAGAGTTTTAAGGTATGTGAGTAAATTGAAGTTGCTGACATAATAATAAGCATTTGGTAAGACGACAGGTGAAAATATGTTGGTTGGAAGGACTGAAATACATTGATGTTTGAGTTTGATATTTAGTTTGTAGCACATGGGGGTTCCAAATTTCGAAAATTCTAATTATTAGTACAGGAAAGAGGCGGAAAGACGTGTTTTTGTTGCTCTCGAACTTTGATTTTTAAGTGTGAAGGAGTGTCGTGTAATTTTCAAAACTTGGATTTGCGAATTCATCAAGGCGTGCTAATTATGATTGAACTGCGCATGAATAATTAGTTTGAGTTTTTGCAGTGCGACGTGTGGTAGACTGGAACGATGAATTTATTTTACAGTAATAATAATTATGTGACGTTGCATAGTGCATAGTTATATGTTACCTATACATCCTCTTACAGTCTTACGATATACAATAGGTTAACGATAATTTATACCTATATTACAATAAATAGTATGGAATACTCATCAGGGAGTTCGTCTGGCGGAGCAACGCGTGCCAAACGCCAGTAATCGGTATGTATTTAATACTATTTATAATATTATTATAATGGCGTGCATTTATATAATTTCCTTTTCAAACATTTTCCTCCGTTTTATTAATATGTACCTATCGTTATCGAAGGCATTAACAGCTATTTATACGGTATAAGTAGTTACCTGTATATTATTATATTTTACTCCAGTGATTGGTATTGGAGGATGTACGCGATAGACTTTCTTTGTAATGTATACGTCACGCAATTACGTTATAATTTATATCCATACTAATATATAATAATATAAAGCTGAAGAGATTATTTGTTTGTTTTAACGTGCTAATCTCAGGAACTACTGGTTCGAATTGAAAAATTATTTTTACGTTGGATAGTATTATAGGCTAATAACATCACTCTACGACCAATAGGAGCCCGAGGAGGTGCTCAAACAGGAATTTTGAGACTTACGATTGAAATGTTTGATTATAAATAGTTGCTATTGGTTACAGTAGAAATAACTAATCGAAATAGTATTTTTTTATTATTGGTCGTCATCGGTTAATCGGCCAGATGTGGTACAAGTATGCATCAAATCGAATTTTCGCACATTGCCTACCAGGATGACTGAGTTGCACATACTGCACCGAGTTACCCCAAAAGAAGTTGAACAATTACATTTTTTTTAAGAGTTGTCATTTTTGCATGAAGTGCACGTGATTAGCTAGTGTAGTATTGTAAATCTAGAAGCCTCGTTCGATGTAGGAAACATCAATGTTTTAATCCTGTGCGCACTATTATAAATACAACAACGCAGCGATTGTTGTGATACCTTCCTGGTCGAAAACTAAAGTTATGGAAAAATAGAAAAGAATATGATACATTCATACAGTATTATTATTACAATGGCTCATCAATAACTCGATATTATACTCATTTAGGTGTCATCGTGTATTCACATCACGATGTCTGTAGTGTGATATAAGCTGCAGT